ATCGAAAGAGACATTGCAGGCCACATGAAACAAATGACATTTTCTCCATTTCCCACAAGGGAGGTTTCTCTGAGTGTCATCTTGCCGCAAAGCGTTGCAAAATTTGTGCAAGCACCTTGTACAGAGTGCCTGTATTAAAAGATGACCTTGTGAGGTCAGGTAGTCTGTAATGTTCCCCCAGGCACTTCCATCTGGGAGAAAATTTCCTTTCCCACTGAAGAGTTGACTAGCAAGTTTCACTAAGGGCTAGTTCAGTGCATGTAGACTGAACATGCTGAGGAAGAGGGTTTCCAATTCTACAAGGCTGATAATACAGGGTTATGTGCTCACATACTCTTCCTGTACCTATTGGGCAAACCTCCTTGGCCAGCCCAAAAAATGATCTTCAGGGAACATCTCCAAATCTTTAACACATTGTGAATCAGACAGGTAGGAGGAAGCGGTTATCTCAAAATGGGGAAAGAGCGTTGGTAATGTTACAGCATCTCAAAAGAAATGGAAAGAGAGAAGCATGGGAGGAAATGTGAGGATAAATGCAGGGATTGCAACAGGTTAACAGTAATTCAACTGAAAGAAGACAAATATAATGGGGCTGAGGTTCTAAAGAATGCAAATGCAGTAAAGAAATGGGGGAGCTGCAGAGGAAATGGTTGTGCTGAGACCCCAGCATGCAAAACGTAAAATAGCAGCAGCCTTTGTGCATTACTGAATAGGGCAAGCCAGTAACATGAAAGCCCACAGAATTGCTCCCTGCAGGGTTGCTACATTTCAAAGAAGTGTTGATTTTTCACATCTGGCTCATGATTTTTCTGTATCTGCAAATCCTGAGTGGATTATTCCTCAGGAACAAAGAGTAATATTTGGAAATACGCAGAAACACAAGACTAAAAGCAGAAAACCAGGAGGGGGCTAAACAGGCTGCTCTTTATGTCCTTTTTCAACCTGACAGTATTAAACTCTTGTTAAATTCTAATCACTTTTTTAGAACGACATACCCAAAGTTTCTGTTTGCTACAGACCTGCAAACCTTTTATTTAGATCAAACGCTGTTGAGGTGCTAAGTGATTCTCATCACTTTGATGCTCTTTAAAATAGTTTCTTTACAGTAGGTACTTTCTATAGATGAGGCATTAAGTTAATATGTATGCTATTTAAGTATCTTTTAAATTATCTAAATATAATGCAGCTCTTTCTGTTCTGGACATTGCTTAGTTAGGTAAATTTTCCTGTTTCTCACTTTCTGCCTTCAACTATCAACCAATTTCACCTTTTGTATTTGCTTTTTTTAATGAAGTCTAATGAAGTTCTTTAGGCATTCTAGGTAACAACTGGAATCCATTACTTCTAGTCTTTTCCTTCATATAATGGTAATTGAATATTTATGGATTATTTTATTTTTATAAACAACTCAAAGCTGTGAACATATCTAATACTTCATCCTCCTATTCCCCCCCCCACGACAACCCCTGTGAGGGAAGTTGGACTGAGGGAGTGATTGGCCCAAGGTTCCCAGCTGGTTTTCATGGCTAAGGTAGGACTAGAAGTCATAGTCTCCAGTTGTCTAGCCTGTTGCCTTGACTACTAGACCAAATGGATTGTTTTGTTGTGGTTGTAGCTTGTTAGTCTTATCATTTTATTTCTATTAGTTTAAAATGCAGTTTTTTGGGGAAAGAGTTATGAACTGAGTTTAGTTGGGAACCAGCTCCTCGTTTTGCTGATTGAATTGTGCTTTTTCATATTGCTTATGAGTTATAATCCATTTTGGTGATATTTATCTGGTCATGGGCAGAATAGTCCCTTGGATTGGTGGAAGAAAGTATTTGCTATAAATATTTATTTTTTGGCAGAATTTTGTGACTAAATTAGTGGACTAGCGAAATGCTGTGGACATAGTATACTTTGGACATAGTATACTTGAACTTCAGTAAGGCATTTGACAAAGTAGACCACAACTTACTTCTTGGTAAGCTAAAAAAATGTGGGATAGACAGCATCACCATCAGATGGATTTGTAACTGGCTACCAAACTGCATTCGGTGTGTAGTCATTAATAGAATTACATATATGTGAAAGGAAATCAGTTTTAGGCCCAGTACTCTAATAAATGATTTAGATGAGGGAATAGAAGGGAAACGCATCAAATTTGCAGACGACAATAAGCTGGCAGGAATAGCCAACAGCTCAGATGGATCTTGACAGACTTGAACACTGGGCCCTATCCAACAAAATCCCTTCCAGCTCTGTTATTCTGTTAGTTTATCGCCTTTATTTCATAAGACAAGGTCAAATCGTGCTGTTATTTCAGGTGCTAGGCTGGCAAGGTAGGTTGGCAGAAACTGCATCACAATGCAAGCCCCGCCCCTTTGGTGTCAATGTCACAGGCATCTGCCAAAGGGATGAAGTTTGTATTGCCAGCCTGCTATGTCAGCTTGCTTTTTTTTTTTTTTTTTTTGGAGACATGCCCATATCCCTTAGACCAGTGTTTCTCAACCTTGGCCATTTGAAGATGTGTGGACTCCAACTCCCAGAATTCCCCAACCAGCTTTCACAGGTTGAGAAACACTATGTAGACCCACTGCTTTCAGAGCAAGCAAGACAGAGAGAGAGAGACCTCTCCCAGATCTTGCAGTTTTGCATCCTAAATAAAATTAATGTTACTGGCAAAACAGCAGCAGTAACATTAATCTTGGTTTTAATGCTCTGTTGCTTCATTACATAATAATAAAGTAAGCCTCTGAATCCAACTATACTTGCCTGTCTTTGCCAACTGCTTTATAGCTGTAAGAAGAAGGATGCTACAGCTGATGGGAATCCTGCATTTCCTCCCTAATGCCAGGCTGCTTTGCCATGGATCCTGCTGCCTACCTGGTATAGAGGTAAGTGTAGATACTATAGACTTGAAAAAAGGGATAACTCAAGCTTGGGAAAGAAAAAACAGAGTACCCCCTTTTAAGTCTGGCTGGAGGAATTCTGAGAGTTAAAGTGGCTGAGGTTAAGAAACTAGTAGTAGCATTTCTGTGATCCTTGTATTGTCTCTTTCCTGAGCTGGCCTACCTCAAAGGGCTGGCACTATGCCCTCCAGTAGTGTTTGGACAGTAAAGGCATCCAATTGAGAAGGGCTGATTTAAAAAAGGCTGCTAATGCTCAGAGAACACAAGCATGCCCCATACTTATTGTACTTTTGAAGTAAGCACCATTCAATGGTTAAAGGGGCTATTGTCTCTACTCAGTCCTGCTATTTTAGATCCTAGAGAACATGGAAACCCATTTCCTCATAAGCAATGCTCTGGTCATCAATATTTTTCTGCTTTCATGGCTTCTTAAAGGCACAGGGACAGTCAAACAATGAACAGTCAAACTGCACCCCCTCCCAACACAAACCACCTCAATAACTCACAGTGAAAGAAAGAAAATCCCTAACCCAATAAATCATACTAATAAACACACAATCCTCTTTACATATATGTGCATTCATTACATTGTAATACATTGTGCCAATATGAGCATGTTGCGCCGGCCCTGCAAATCTATCATACTACATACTTATGATGTTATGTGGCATTCAGGAGTCTGAGCCCAGGTATAAAAGCTGTTCTATCTAAATAGGGTAGGGTAGAGTAGAAATTGAAATAGTTCCTTAAGAGTATAAGAGGCGAGGTGGCGCAGTGGTTAGAGTGCAGTACTGCAGGCTACTTCAGCTGACTGCTAGCTGCAGTTCAGCAGTTCAAATCTCACCAGGCTCAAGGTTGACTCAGCCTTCCATCCTTCCACGGTGGGTAAAAATGAGGACCCAGATTGTTGGGAGCAATAGGCTGACTCTGTAAACTACTTAGAGAGGGCTGTAAAAGCACTACGAAGCTGTATATAAGTCTAAGTACTAGTGCTGTTGCTATTTATAAATAAATACTTTATTTAGTGACCTTACTCCCCCACCTTTCCCACACCCGTTTCTACTCAGGGATGTTTCATCCTTTTGGTCATTTCTGTGGGTCATCTGAGTTTTGGAGAATTGCTTTTTATTCTGCCAGCCATTTTTTTCGCATCTTTAAAAGAGAGTCCGATGGTGAACCAAGGGGCAGATGCCCCTCTTCTACCTCTGAAAAACCTGTGTGGGTCACCCTCGCATTCACTGGAAGGGCTCTTCTTCTCCTTCCCTTAGTCACAACTTGGTGCATCCTTATCCCGATTCCTGGCGCGCAGCGTAGCTTTCCAACAACCTCTGAGCTCCTTTTGACTGAAAGCCTGAGTGGCGTAAGGAGGCTAATGCCTCCTACTAAGGCAGCATTTAACATCCAGCTGCCTGCAATTACTGCGAGTTCAATTCTCACCAGGCTCAAGGTAGATTCCATCCTTCCATCCTTTCTAAGGTGGGTAAAATGAGGACCCCGTTTGTGGGGGCAATAAGCTGACTTTGTATAAAATATACAAAAGGATGAAGGCTATTGCTTAACGCATTGTAAGCCGCCCTGAGTCTCCAAAGAAGGGCGGCATATAAAAATAAATAAATAATAATAATAATAAAAAAGGCTAACCAACCACTTCCATTAGATTTCAGGCCAGGCAAACTTTTTTTGTTCCCTTGGACTCCCCCCCTGACTGCAGCTTTGTTAATTCCGATCGGCGGGGAACTCTGGCCCCCACCTCGGATTCGGTTCAGATGAGGATCCGACGCAGAAGCTTCGACGGCGCCTGGCCGCCCGAGCAAAAACTGCGCGATTCCCAGCAGGGACCAATGGCGCGCCTTGCAGACGGGAGCGCAGCGCACTGCAACGCGGGCCAGCCTGCTCTCCACCCCACCCCACAACCTCTTCCTCCAGGTGCTTCGGAGGGCGGGCCGGGGAGCGAACAATTCTGGCTCCGGGGCCGCCGCCGCCGCAGAGCAGCTCGCCCCGCTACCCCTCGCTTGGAGCCCGGCCAGCTTTATCCCCGCCCCTTGCCAGGAACAACTCGGTTCCCTTGGTAGCGGCGGCGCTGACGGGCACAACGGGCAAGAGCGCGGCCCGCAGCATGTCGCCCTCGCCGCTTCCCCGCCGCGCCGTGCAGCTGGCGCCCAGCTCGCTCGCTTTGGTCCTGCGTCGCCGCCCTCAGGGGCCCCGGGAAACGGCCGGAGCCGAAGCGGAGGCAGAGGACGCTGAGCCGGACTGCTGCGAGGACGAGGCGCGCGGCGGGGCCGTCTTCCAAGCGTTCCGGCGCGCCAACGCCTCCTGCTACTGGAACGCCGGTCTGGCGCGCGCCGTGGGGCGGGTGCGGCTGCAAGGCTGGCTGAGGGGCGGCGTGCTGCTCTTGCAAGGGCCCCCGGCGCCCCTCCAGCTCCTCCGCGACGCCTGGCTCCGCAGGGCGCTGAGGGCCCCCAAGGGCTTCCACATCCGAGCCGTAGGTGAGTGAGCGAGAGCGCGAACGCGCGCCGAGGAGCCGACCCCCCGCGCTGCCCCTTCAGAGCTCCCCGCGGGGTTTGGGTGGGGGGGGGGAGGGCCCGGAGTCCCCCCGCCCGGACCTTAATCCTGAGGAGGCGCGTTGGGTTTTGAAGCGGCGCAGACCTAAGGACCGTTGGCATTGCTGAAGAGTTATTTCCCCAGGGCCAGGCAGCGCTGCCCCTCGGGGAGGGAGGTGGTGGTGGTGGTGGGGACTCGGACGGAGGGAGGCTTCTTCCCGCTGAGTCGGGTTTTGGGAGGTTTTTCGTGGAGTTTTTAAAACGCAGGTGAGGTTTTTTTCAGGCATAGCTGTGCGGGGTGGCCCGGCTTCTTTTTCCATGCGTGAGGGAGAGGAGGAGGCTTTTCGGGTGGGAATAACACTTAAGGACCGCTTAACTCTTTTGGCGCGTGAACTTCAGGTCACATAATATAATAATTATAATAATAATAATAATGATGATGATGATAGGAGGAGGAGGAGGAGGAGGAGGAGGAGGAGGAGGAAGAAGAAGAAGAAGAAGAAGAAGAAGAAGAAGAAGAAGAAGAAGAAGAAGAAGAAGAAGAAGAAGAAGAAGAAGAATCAACCACCTGAGCAGTGGGTGCAGCAAAATTTCACAAACTGACTACCTACAACGCCATGATCGCATTGCTAAGATCATTCACTGGAAATTGTGCCAGAAGTTTGGATTTGAGTACAGCAAAAACCACTGGGAACATCAGGTTGAGAAAGTTTTAGAGAATGAGAAACTCAAGATCTTGTGGGACTTCAGGATTCCGACTGACAGGCACTTGGTCCACAACACACCTGACATAACAATAGTTGAAAAAAGTATGGTTCATTGACATGCAATACCTGGTGATGCACAGATTGAAGATAAGCAGCAAGAAAAAAATCACAAAGTACTGAGATTTGCAAATTGAAGTTGAGCGACTGTGGAAAAAGAAATCGTGTGTTATCCCGATTGTAATTGGAGCCCTTGGAGCAATACCCAAAGGGCTACCCCGCTATTTAGAAATTCTAAATTTGCCGGACTTGAACATTTTGACTCTACAAAAAACCACCTTACTCGGAACAGCTTATATCCTCCGATGATACCTTAACAGTTCCTAGGTCCTTGGTTAGGACTCGAGCTGCTGAGCTATTAACCAGCCTCAAAGGCTGTGAATCTCACTAAAGATTAACCAATAATAATAATAATAGAATCGAACTGCAGAGACTCTGGCATAAACCAGTGTAGGTGGTTCCAGTGGTACTCGGCACACTGGGTGCTGTGCCTAAAGACCTAGGCAAGCACTTAAAAACAATTGGCACTGACAAGATCACCATTGGTCAGCTGCAGAAGGCCACCTTACTGGGATCTGCTCGCATAATCCGCTGATACATCACGCAGTCCTAAACGCTTGGGAAGTGTTCAACTAGTGATTTGGGGTACGAAATCCAGCATGATCATCTCGTTTGCTGTGTACTCTGAAAGATAATAATAATACTAATAATGCTACTACTACTACTACTACTAATAATAATGATTGTCATGTACATGTATACACAGTGTACCCATACAATGCAATTCACTTAACACCCAAAGACCAGGTCCGACACACACAACAATCCCCAAACGCACCCACCACAATTCCCTATCCACCCCTAAACCACCCAAACATCCACACAACAGACCAAGTAATGGTGTCCAACAGCTCAGTGATGGTGGCCCTTTAGTTCATTGTTGAGTACAATTATAGCTCTGGGATAAAAACTATTCAGAAAATGTGTGGTCTGAGTTTTAATTGTTCTGTATCTTCTGGCAGAAGGCAACAGTCCAAAAAGATTGTAAGCAGGATGAGAAGAGTCTCAGAATGTTATGCAACTTTCTCAAACAGCGAGTTTTGAAGATGTCGTCCAGGGCTGGTAGCTGGAGTCCGATGATATTCTGGGCAGTTTTAATGATTCTCTGTAGAGCTTTTTTTGTCCGCTACAGAGCTGTTCCCTTACCATGCAAGAATGCCGTATGTCAGGACACTCTCAAATGGTGCTGCGATAGTAGGACAGAAGTAGATGCTGAGATAGATTTATCAGGAAGATAAATCTATCTCAGAAAGAACGCTTTGCATTTCTGAGGGTTAGCAATGAAGGATGGTTGAAAGTCTTAGGCAAGCGATCTAACGGAAAGCACTTGTGTATAGTTATAAAGGCAGATAGATAGAAATATATATAGTAATTGACAACAGGGAGACATGCATTGGTGTGTGGAATAAATCACAAAGGTTAGGTTCACGCATGGTACTATGTTGTGTGTTGCTTAATGGCATCGGGCACAATTGCCTGATTTAATCACAAAAATGGGTTCCCATAACACTAATTCAGAACTAACGAAACACGTTACATTTCACAACCATGTCTGAATCCAAACATGATGAAAGCCCAGACACATTGGGCAGGCCATGTTGCAAGGATGCCAGACCAGGGGTGAAATCCAACAGGTTCTGGAGAACCGGTAGCAGAAATTTTGAGTAGTTCGGAGAACCGGTAGTGGAAATTTTGAGTAGTTCGGAGAACTGGCAAATGCCACCTCTGGCTGGCCCCAGAGTGGGGTGGGAATGGAGATTTTGCAATATCCTTCCCCCTGGAGTGGGGTGGGAATGCCCACCAAGCCACACCCACCAAGCCACATCATGCCCACTAAGCCACACAGCTCACCATAGAGGAGCTGTTTAGGGATGCGATGGTCAGACCAGGCTCAAGAATTAACTTTGTGTATTCTATGTATGTCTGATCTGGGAAAATAGGTTTGATTTAAGGAATGGTAGCCAGCACTCTGAAATACTTTTTTGGGGGGGCCTTTGACTGTGCAACATTGGACATCCCTGCCAGTTGTGTACCAGCTGAATTGGCAAGATGCAGGAGTGGACTGGTCTTGACTAATGACCTTTTATTGCTGGCCTCAGCATTGAAACAAATGAATAATTAGTTGAATTTCCATAGAGCACACTTGTGTACAATGTCAGCGGCAATATATGAACTGTGCAGAATGAGGCGGGATTCATAACATTTTGCAGTCATGAGATCATGTTGATTAGAATTAGTAGATGGCTTATAGCCATTATATAGAAACCATTAAACATTACTCCAAGATAGCCTCCCAGCCTTCCCCCAGAATTCCTCAGCCAGCCTGTGCAAAATGCTTGGGAGACCGTTAGAATGGTGATTGCACAGTCAGAAATGATGATGACATACACATTCTTACCAGGAAAGCTGCTGATCTGTGTTTAATAGCATTAAAGCTGGATACAAGCTCATAAATTGAGACCTAATGCAGATAAGCTAGATTCTCCTAATCAGAGAAAAAGTGGGCTCTGGAAAAGGAAGTCAGTTGTTATAGGTGAGAGAGAACTTTCCATAAAGACATGGGTTTGGACTCTTAAGGATTCAGGTTTTGCATCTAGACTAGAGACTTGGGTAGCAACTCTTGTCAGAAATGTACCGTATTTTTCGGAGTATAAGATGCACCTTTCCCCCCCCCCAAAAAAGGGGGTGAAATGTAGCCCTGCCCACCCACTGGCCCCCACCTTTTGGACTCTGCCTCGCAGCAGTTACCTCCTTGCAAGCAAACAGCAAGAAAAAACAGCTCCTTTCAACTTCAGCACAGCCTAATTAGCACAAGTTGATTGGATCGGCCTCCCGACTAAGCTGATTTGCTCTCAGCTGTTTTGTGCAGGGCTCTGCTGCTAGCTGCAAAGAGGTAAATTGCTGGAGCAGATTTTTTTTTCCCTTGTGCTAATCAAGCTATGCTGAAAACGAAAATGAAAGTAGAGCAGGCTGTTTGCTGCAACGAGGCAAAATTGCGCAGAGGCAGAGGGAGATTTCTTTTTCTTCTTTTCCTCACCAAAAAAGGTAGGTGCGTCTTATACTCTGCTGCGTCTTATACTCCGAAAAATATATTTGTTGGCTTCAACTGGTGTCATCAACAATATCAACTCCTCATGGATTCAGACCTATTCATAGTAACACATTCCTTAACATTGCTTGAGATGGTTCTTCAAGAACCTTCAGAAGTTGTACTTGATCCAGAATGCATCATTGAGGATGTTGGTGGACACTCATATCTAGAAGGAGTTATCTCTTTATATGTTCGTTCTAAATACATTAGGTACTGTCTCTTCATACCAGTTTGCCTCCAGACTACCATATGATCCATAAATATAGTCATCAATTTAAGACCATCATAGGGACCAGAAAATTAGTCGCTAAGGGGTACAGTCATGTGAGGCATCATGTGACCATTCCAAATTTTACAACCTTTTTTGCTGTGACCGTTAAGCGAATCTGCATAAGTAAGACATTTTATGACTGTGACTTGCAACTTTTGCTGCCAGCTTCCCTTATTGATTTTGCTTGTTGAAACTGGGTGGGGAGGTATCTCCTGCTTGAGCAGGTAGTTGGACTAGAAGTTGTTCAAGATCCCTTCTTGTTATTCTGTTAAATTGTGGAAGTCCTTGCTTGTGATGATAATCTCAGGTGATGTATTGCCTATGTAGAAAGGTATTGATGTAAATTTTATTTAAATAATTATTATAATTATGTTTAGACTGCTTTTCATCAAAAGTAATGCCTAGTCCCAAAGATAAATAGTTGTTGTATCTGCTTTCATTTTTCATTTCATTATTCTCTTGTATAATGTCTTGTTACTTTTTCTTTTAAAAGATTCTAAAGTTGTGCAGTATTGTTTTAATTGATTGTTAGCTTCTAGGGCAGGGGTCAGCAACCTGCAGCTCTGGAGCCGCATGTGGCTCTTTCACCCATCTGCTATGGCTCCTTGTCACTCAAAATATGCGTCACAACCGTCAATGTGCGACACCCGCTGGCACGCGATTTATTGAGCTTTTCAATCCCTGGTAGGCCAACCATGGATAAATCCACGAAAAAAAAAGTTTCAGAAGAAAACAGAATGTTTAATTCAACTACATATGC